TTGGAAATTTCTCAAGATTCTTCTGGTTACTTTCTTACTTAGACCAAGTATACATCTGATCTTTTAGCTCGTGATGGTCTTGCTGATTGCAAGATTGCACCTACCCTAGTTAATCTTCAGACTCGTCTCACACCTCTTGATGGTCACATATTATCTGATGCTACTTTATATCGTCAGCTAGTTGGCAGTCTTGTCAATCTCGCGGTTACTCGTCCAGACATTGCCTGTACAGTTCACATTGTCAGTCAGTTAATGGCTGCTCCTCATTTTCCACACTATGATGGTCTATTTCACATTTTGCACTACCTCAAAAGCACTATGTTTCATGATCTTTACTACTAAGCACACTCTTCTCTACAGTTACATGTCTTTTCTGATGTAGATTGGGTAGGGAATCCTACTGATTGCCGTTCTACTATAGGGTTTTGCTTCTTCTTGAGTGATTCTCTCATTGCCTAGTGTAGCAAGAAAAACAAACTTTTATTGCTTGTTCTAGTACTAAAGTTGAATATCGTGCTCTTGCTGACTGTACTCAAAAGCTTGTGTGGCTTCGTTGGCTTCTTTTTTATATGAAAGTTTCTTATCCTACTGCCACTAACCTTTATTGTGACAATCAGGGTGCTATTCAGATTGCACATAATGATGTCTTTCATGATCGCACCAAGCATATTGAGATTGATTGTCACTTTATACAGCAGCATGTTACTAGTGGCACTGTTTGTCTTATATTTGTTAGCTCTGTCAATTAGATAGTCGACATCTTCCCCAAGGCTCATCCTCCAAGATGCTTTTCTAACTTACTTTCCAAGCTCAAGTTGATATATGCATTACCACCTTAAGCTTCAGCGGGGTGTTAGCGATATATATCTGTATTACCATAATATGCATTACCATATTATGTTATTATCATATTGTGCATTACCGTATTAGTTTCTTACCATATTGTGTTCTTACCATATTGCACATTACCATATTAGCTTATCCTTCTCCTATATAAAGGAGTCTTGTATTCATTCATATTCATTCATTAAAATATACAGAGTTATATTCTCTCTCTCTCTCTCTCTCTCTCTCTCTCTCTCTCTCTCTCTCATAACATGATCAAAAGATTATATATTGAATTTTTTTTTAAAATTTTTGCATTTAATAGTACTCACAAAAAGGCTATTAAAATTTACTTAAATATATAACAAATTTTATATTAATAAAAAAGACTAAAATATAAGTTAGAGTACCAAATAAAAAGTATTCTATTCTTTATTTCTTTTTCTTTTTTTTCATGTTTAAAATTATACTTTCTAGGAATAGTGACATGTTTGATATAGTTTATCAAAAGTTGTTAACATCAGCATAATGTTGACTTAATCCTCAATCATTACAAATCAAATAATCAATGAAAAGAAAAATAAAAAATAATAAAAATATGTAATCATAATAGACAATATATAATTAATGATCAAATAAATATTTAATCAAACAAAAATAAGAATTCATCTCTATTACAGAGTTTGTATCTTAAAACCCAACTTTATATTACAAATTTAAAACTTTCCATCATAGTTGAACAAATAAAAAAACAGAAAAAAATAAAAAAATCAACACATAAAAAGCTAAGAAATATAGTAGTTCTTCAATTAGTTTTAAAAAAAATTAGATGAATACTCTAATTCTTATTGCTGACAAAAACCAACTAGTAAAAACTTTCGGTGTCTTTGGTAAAGCTTTTCAAAGTTGATTCCACCCCTTGGTTTGAGTGTAGTGTTTGGTTAGCGCTTTCGAAAATTGATTTCACACCCACTTTGAAAATACGTCTACCCGGTCATCCTCCCGGACGTCCGACCGGTTGACTGGAACAGTGTTCGTGTTTTTTTATTTTTTATTTTATATTTCAATATAATATATATATATTTATATATATATATTTTCGAATTTTTTAAAAAAAATTTTAGAACTTTGAATAGAATTTTGAGTTGTTTGTTTGGTTATGAGTTGGTAAATTTTTTAATCAAAAATATCATATGTCACATCATTCATTTCAAAACTCAATTCAAACAATTTTTCACTCAAATCAAAATTTCCAAAATTCACAAAAACTAAAATTACAACTCATTTCAATTATAATTTAAAATCTACCAAAACGTTACCTTGGTTTATATATGTATGTAATTATATCTCAATTGTATTTTAAAATATAAATTGAGATATCAAAATTTGGGCCTTTTATCAAATTGGCCTCTTCTTATAGAAATTTTAGATCTTCTACCTCAAGTCGGCCTTTTTCTGAACCAATATACTTACCTATAGTTTTGGAGCCTTACTATAGTTTCGAAAGTGGCTGCTTTGTGGTTTACCCAAAGCCGGCCCTGGGTAGAAGCAAACATAGGTTTTGTTATATCCTTCATATTTTTCTTTTGTGCATAACAATGAGCCAAACATATTAGCCTTTGGGAAAGGCTTGGCCTAGATTGAGCCAAACATGCCTATGTCTCAATGATACCTTAAAATTTTTGAAAACAAGCACATTGATTTGTTTTATTGTTCGTCTATACACATGACAAGGTATATGTAAAGCAATTTATCTGTCTTTTTTTCCTAAAATGCAATGTTGGTGTTGTTTTTCCAATTATTATTACTTATATGTCTCCAAAAAAATAGGTTTAAATATTTGAGAGATGATGAAAATACAATTAGTTAGACGACCAAGTTATTTGGCAAGGTAGGCCTAAGATCTGCCAATCTAAACATAAGCTAACATGGGAGAACGACTACACACCTTCCAAATTTAACTTAAGCCAGCTTTGACTGATTTATTAATATATTTTTAATAAAATTTTATATAAAAATCTTGATAGTGCTTAAGTGTCAAGTCAAAGCGAGGTTCAACGATATTTTTTATTTGTTACTTTTTATTATTTTAAAAATTTTAATTACAGCCGGCCTAAATTCTTTGGCCCGACCCCATTGGACGTCCATCCTTATCTTCCAAAATAGATAGGCTTTTTTTAAACTTTTGACCGCCTTAGTACAACACATAGAACCAATAGCAAGCTCACATTTATCATTTTTGGGGTCATGTTATCCACGCCACATAAGCCAGTGCTTGATGGGACTGGTCTTGGGTCAAACCCCTTACATTTACTAATGACCCAACACCAAAGGCCTCAGAGTCAAAAAGGGCCAAAAATAGTATTTTATATTATATATTTGCTATTTTACTATATTAGGCTGATTGAAGAGGAATTTTGTTTAACGTGATGTCCCTCTCAATAAGATCATAAATAGGAAAAATTTCCCCGCCAAAACAAAAAGTTGGAATTTTGTAAATGGGACGGTGTTGGATAGAGTGGGATTCACAACGCATGTTAAAGATGACAGGCAATTTGGACCACAACAAAACCATTTTATCATCTAAATTGTTGGTGTTATCGCCCCAATTCCCAACGATTGCAAACCTCGTACTCTGACGTGTATGGACACTGTTCGGCCCCAATTTGTGCCACCATTGACGATTTCACAAAACATTGCCTTCTTGGCGCCTGCGCATTTAATCGTTGCTAATGCATGTTGTCCCATTACATAGGCCTTCAAAATTGGGTTCCAACTAAAAATAAAAATTTTTTATTCTGAACATATCTTCATAATTAAAGCCAGAATTGATATCTCGTTTCCAATGTACATGTCTATATAAGACTACAAATCTCACCATGGTTTACAAGTCACTACAGTCATGATACAATCGCCTATGAGCTCTATTTATATGAACTACATTGTCCCGACATTATGAAAAGTATGATGGAACTGGAAATGTATTTTTATTTGTTAAAACCTTGCTAATTTGGGGAATTAAATTAATTAATGTGAATAAACAATAAAACGGAAACAGACAAATTTTACGTGACTTATAGTCTACATTTATCAGCAAAAATGACAAAAATATTTTAATTTATGAAGAACAAAGTTAGAGATTTAGGTCTTATTTGAAACCAGATTTATTTAATATTTTTTTTTAGTTTTTTGATTGAAATATATTTTTTTTTAAAAAAAAAACTAATATAATTTGGATATTTTTATTGGCTTTTTTACGAAAAATCTTGACTTTTTATATAATTATTGACCTTTTTAATGACTTTTAAACCAAAAAATATCTACTCCCCAAGAGACATTAGTCGCCTGTTTTAGTTTTAGTTATTAATTTTTTTTTTTTTGGACATTTTTTCCCCTTTTCTTTTCTATTTGCCCTCTCCAATTTTTAATGGGTACTTTTTTCCATTTTTCACTCTTTAATTCCCTAGTTGAAAATAGAAATAAACGCTTTATATAGAGTTGTAGCTCCAAAGACTTGTAGGCAGAATTGTAGCCATATCCCCGCAAATAGAGAAATTAAAAATTTCAAAACTTTTGATCACGAAGGGATTCATTGATAAATGTAACCTCATTATATGATTAATTAATGCCCGATTAATTTAATATACGGTATTTAAATAAATTCAAAAATATGAACAAATAATCAAATAAGTCGGGAAAATTCGATTTAAATCTGTATGTATTTTTTTAAATCTAAATTGGTGGCCACAGCCAGATTTCTTTACCTTCTTTCCACGTGTTGGACTGGAATGGGGCCGCTTGAGACATTGACCAACTGAACCAAAGTAGCCATTAACATATTCGGTCCCGAAACATTCCCAACCTGGCTCAGCCAAAACCTCTTATACGTCGTCAGGTTTTCACTCATTCTGTGACCAATCTCAGCCTTGGTCCAAGAAAAAAATAAACTGGCCTATCACACGGGTCGGGGCTAAAGACCGGTATTAAATATGAATGGACCTTGACTCGAACTCTTCCATGTCACAAATGTTTGAAAGGAGTTGCAAACACCTTTGAAGTCACCAGTGATGGGGTATAGCTCACAGTGTAACCCAAGACACTGAAACAGACCAATTTCGAGACAGGTCGTAGCAAAGCTTTGTTGGACGATCCGACCCGGATCCGAAATGTTTGTTTGGACCAGTTTTTAAGGGGAGTCAAGCTTTGTTAGGCATGGGAAAGAGTGGTTGCATGGAGTCTACGTGGTGCAGGGAGACTAGTGGCGCCACCGGGTGTGCTGCTAGTAACCCATATGGGTCTCCTTTTAAATCAACCTATAAATGAAAAAAAAACAAAAAAAAAGTGTGAATTTTTATTTTTAAATATACTTTTAAAGTCAGACTTAATTATGATTAGACGAGTTTACTTTGCATGAAAAAATTAACTTTGAATTTGTTATCCAGGATAAAGCATATGGATTTAGAAGCGTGATGACTGAATATTCTTCTCAATTTGTCTTCATCCCTTTTTTTCCACAAACATCTTGCATCTCTGATGAGATATTTTCCACAAGAGACGTCTTTCAGCCACTGCGCGGGATATCATCCTCTCCTTAATTTTGCTCCTTGCCTCCCTACTTGCTCAGCCATTAGACCCACTTTGGGCTCAATTTTGATAATTTAAGCCGTTCATATTTTAATATTTGTTGAGTATATCATACTTGTAAAAAATTAAATTGATCAGATATCAGAAAATATGTGTTTTTGTTTATTAAATTTAAAAAAAAAATAGTTTTTAGTTCGATGATCCGAACACATAATTTCTGATATCTAATCAACTTGATTTTTTACAAGTTTGATACACTCAACAAATCTTAAAATATAAATAGTTCGGATCATCAAAATTAGATCCAAAAGTGGACCCAATGGCCTAACAAATTAAAAAGTAAGGAGAGAAATTAAAGAGAGGATTCTGATTCATCATTTGTGACCATTCCATCCATTTCTTCTACTAGCCACCACCTCTTTCACCATTGGTTATCACTTTATTTAACTGTTTTAAAAACATCTTTTTGAATATATACATTTTTGTGTTTTGATTTACAAGTTTGATACACTCAACAAATCTTAAAATATAAATAGTTCGGATCATCAAAATTGGATCCAAAAGTGGACCCAATGACCTAACAAATTAAAAAGTAAGGAGAGAAATTAAAGAGAGGATTCTGATTCATCATTTGTGACCATTCCATCCATTTCTTCTACTAGCCACCACCTCTTTCACCATTGGTTATCACTTTATTTAACTGTTTTAAAAACATCTTTTTGAATATATACATATACGTATACATATACATACATGTGAATTAAGCATGTTTTTATTTATTTTTTTAATATCAAATAGAAACATAAAAATTGTTTTTTGTGTATGAAAAATAATGAACTAATAATATTACTAAAGGAAATGGATTTTCTCTAGTTAAAGGGTTGGGTTTAGTGGACCATATAAAGGTGTTTATTGTGTAAGATTCATAGTCTATCTTTAACTTCTTCTGTTTTTGTTTTGATCAACAAAACTTGACATTTTATTAATGATATATGTATAAAAAAAACTAGATAACAAATGTGTTTTTGAGATAAATTTCATTTAATCATGTGATGAGTAATCTCTGATTTTATGATTTGTTTTATATGAATACTATGTTTAGTTGGTTTTGTAAGAATCACCTGGATAGTCTTAGATTCTCAAATATGAACCCACCAACATCCAATAACACCTCTTCAACTCTGTTTGGATGCCCAACTAGAAAATATAAGTGGGGGGCCGCGGCGGTGGGATGCTGTGATTGCCCCTTCTGAGGATTAGTCGGTGGACGCAGACCAGCGATAGAAGCCGGATACCTCAGTTTCAAAAAGATTACTGGATAAGGAAACAGAAGGTAATTGCTTGCTGAGTTATCATCTACAAATCAAAAGGTGATGATTACAACAACAACCAAAAAGGAAAAAAAAACACGAGAAAAAGCCGAAAACCCCAATTTAAAAAAAAAAAAAAAAAAAAAAACTAGAAATATCTCATCTCATTTCGAAGGGCACTTATGTACGATTAGAAATTTCTATTCATATTTTATAACCATTAAATTTGTAATAAAAAACTGTCCATAACAAATATATAATGGATAGGATCAAGGTCATTAGAATTGGGATCTTACGTTGGATTGTTGGAGGTATTTACAAGATCGGATTGTAAATTCGGATCGATAATTGTAACATTATATCCAAAAAGATAAATTACGTAATAATTTAATTTAAATAAATATTTCTTAAAAAAATACGCAAAATGAGCTTATATTCTATTAAAAAAAAGTGAAGATATTGTGAAAAATATAACACTCTATGTAAAATGTATATATAATATTATACAATAAGAAACTCAATAGTAAAAGTTTTGTATTTTATCACAAAAAAAAAAAAGGTAAAGAAGAAGAATTCTATAATAAAAAACTTTACAATCTACAATAATACACAAAAAGTGAAAAAAAAATATTTAACAAAGTTGGGCATGAAAATAGATTAAACACTCAAAAAGCGGCTTAACAGAATGATAAGATTTGTCGTTAACATCTCTGGTAGAGCGGATTCAAGTCATAAAAATAGTCTTTCCAAAATTTGGGATAAAGTTACAATCATCTTGTCCTCTTCAGACTCTACTAAAGTTAAATTTAATTTTCCGACTAATTAGTTTTCTTAAATTACCGCAGCATTTAAATGTTTGTTTCCTAATTTTTTTTCTTAGTCTATTTGATTCAATATTACTTTCATTTATTTTGAACACATAAATTGATATTTAGACGACAATTATAAAATTTACAATAAAATATGCCATGAAATATAAAATAAGACTTGTAAATTGAGTTGGATAAAATCGAATTCGGATCAAGATTTCACGATTTTATAAAGATCATATTAGAAGGGGTTGTTTGGTTTTTGTGTTGGGTTAAAAAATCATAAAAGAACAAAAAAAAAAATCGAAAAATACAAAAAGTTAAAAATTACAAAAAGACAAAAAAAAAATCTATCATTCCAAAGGTAAAAAATTAAAAAAACTAATCAAGAACCAAACGAATAAAAAATTCTCAGATTAAAAAAATTAAAAAACTAACTAAAAAATTTATTGCTAAACGAAGACTAAGATCGAAAGATTTTACTTTTTACATAATCTAAATCGATTGTGTTGAAATGAATGGTAAGATTTTAGGATTAAAAAATCCAAAACAAGATTTTGATAATCATGGATAGCATCAAAGTCCGTAAAGTTAGAGAAGAGAATTTTATCGTTTTATTTTTCTGACTAAAGAGTGAGAGAGAGAGAGAGAGAGAAACCTGATGGAAACCAAGCTCTACAGTGAGTGGCACCCCAAGCTCAGTCACACAAGCCCCAACCTTCTGATCACCGCCGTAGAGCTCTGCGTACCGATCAATACACCCATCCAAAATCCTCACAAGCTCCGCCGCTAACGCATAACTCACCGCAAACCCACCACCGCCATAAGCTATAGCATACGAATGAATAACATCTTGTTCAACGCTCTCCGAATTGCCACCAATATAATACATCTGATTATGATCATATTTTCCTAAAACCGTCACCAAATTCTCCAGGAAAAACACCGTATCATCGTCCCCCATCACGAACCACCTCACATTCTCTAACCCCAATTCGAAACTCTCTTTCACAATCCTCGCTATTCGAATGGCATATCGTGCACCGTACCAGCACGTGTACTTGAACCTCGACGTGTTTTGGGAAACCATGTACGGTGGTGATGTGTTTGGCCATGTTACGTTGTCGGGGGGCTTTTCGTCGAGCCATACGAACCCACGGGTGATGTTGGGTTTCCACCATAACTCACAGTAGTCGCGGCGACCAGTCCATGTTTTTACGGAGCTGCTGATACCGAAGACTATGTGTGATATGTTGGTTTGTTGTTCAGAGCCTAACAGAGATGTGTCTGTGCTGATTTTTGTGGTGTGATCGAAATGTAAAAAATTTGGGTTGGATTTTGAGTAACCGAGCCAGCCAGGATGGCGAGAGAAAGTTGAATAAGAGAAGAAAGTGATTGAGACGACGATACAAATTGCGAGAAAACATTTCCTGGAAGATGATATGATGTTAGTGACCTTTATGGTGGTCTCTTCTTGTTTGCGAGACATTAGCATAAGAAATTGGGAAGCACAAAATGGTCTTTCGTTTCAATGAAAATCAAATTTCTAAAAGGAGTAGTTGAAAGTTTGAGTTTTGATCTTTGATTGCCTCCCACAGTTGTATCTTGGATGTTTGTGTGAATATATGAGTTTATGAGTGAGTGACGCCATTCAGAAGTTAGTACCTAGAAGTTAGTACCCCATGGAGAGTGGCCAGGGCCCGCTCAAGTGGAGCTGTAGTGAAGCACTTGCTTTAGCCTTCGGTATAGCAATATGTCTCATTTTAAATTAAAATCTAATAGGTAAAATAAGAAACAAGAAATAAGAAATAAAAAAAGAATAAAGAATGTTGGTAGCTTTCTCAAATTAAAATAAGATTATCAAATTTTCTATCAACTTCATACATTGGCTTTATCCCTCAAACTTTGATTAAAATTTCAATGTTATCTTCAAACTTCAATAACCTTTGAGGTTATGGGTACAAGTTTTAGGCTAACCATTTTGTGTACTATGCCAAAAGTTAGGTGTGTACTCAATGTTTTTTCTCCCAAACACACATTAACATGTACTATCTGGGATGTCATTTTTTTACAATCACATAAGAGTTACTTAAGCTAATGTTGATTGAATGATTAAGAAAACACTTAAGAGAATTGAATTGATCCAGTAGTCCATCAACTTGCTTTTGTTATATCTTAAATTAAAGTTGAAGTTTAACCAGAATTGGCATCGGTTTCCTCTTTCCAACTTTGTGTCTCTTATTCGAACTCAGACTATTTCTTTCAGTTTGAAACCCTAAAATTAGTTCATGGGGGAAGCACATAATATAATAGGGACAATTTTTCTCATATTCATTAACATTTGGATTTCATTGACTCACTAAAATTCGATGTCTTAATTTCTCTTCTTCTTATCCCCACTGGCTGTAACACCTTTTTAGTGTCCCTTTCTTTCTCATCCTTATCTCCCTATCTACACTTCTTGGCTTCTTTTTACCCCCCACAGCCTTAGGTCCACAACAACCCTTATAAAAGGCCATTGCTACAATGGAGAGAGGAGGGTGGAATCCGGTGCTTAGAAGAAGATGAGGAGGAATAATGGGCATTCAAAACAACCGATCTAAGGATGTAGATAAGTTGTTGACCATCTTTATAGATGAGATACTTGACTTTATGGATCCAAAAAGGTTGTTCACTTTGTTCAATAAGTTCGGAGTCGTTAAGGACGCCTTTATTCCAGCAAAAAGAAGACAAGTTACGGGCTCCTAATTCGAATTTGTAAGGTATGACTGCACGGTAGCAGCAGACATGGTGATGCAAAAGGCTGATGGTTTATGGTGTGACAATAAAGCTCTGAAGGTGAAGAATACAGAATACAAAAAAGGGGGTCAGAAACAAACCACAGTAAGGAACTTGGGAGATCAGAAGATGAAGCAGTACCAACAGAGGAATTTCGCACTACAGAAGACAGGGTATGCCAAAGGAGTGCAAAAACAACCCATAATGAGAAGCAAATGAGGAGCGATGATGAGGCAGTACCAACAAAGGAACTTGGCACAACAAAAAATGGAGGCAATAAGAAGATCTTATACTGAAGCAGTTCAAAATGGAGGCATTCAAGAGAAGATGAAAGGAGTTGTTAAGGCTTATGAGTCAGTTAATGGGTGGTTATATGAAAGTCTCATTGTGGAGTCGAAGCATTTTCTGCCATTTAATGATTTAAAGAAGGAGTTTGAAAAAAGAGAAATGAAGAAGATAAGAGTGAGAGATGGTGGGGGAAGGTTAGCATTACTAACATTTAAATCAGTGCAACATATGAAGGAAGCAAGACCATCTATTGAAGAATGGATTTTTGATTGGTGTGAATCCATAATGGATTGGGAAAAAAGGCTCTATATTGAGCATGAAAGGTGTGTGTGGATTACTTGTGTGGGTATTCCATTTAACTTGTGGAGTGTTAATACTTTCACAGATATTGGTAATCTTTGGGGGGAAGTTGTTCAGTTAGATGACAACATTCTAAATCATAATTCTTTTCAGCATGGCAAGGTTAGAATTGTTATGAACAGGTTTAAGTTCATAAATATAGTGATCACAGTTGAATGCCAAGGAAATTTTTTCCCAGTTCATTATCACCATATGTCACTCCATGTTTTTGTCAACAACAAAGTCAGGTGAGTGAAGAGGTTGCATTCAAATCTCAGGTAGAGGTCGATCAACTGTCAAAAAATAATAATGGGGATGAGGATGAAGAGAAGACAGATGAAGGGAATGAGGAAATGTTAAGCGAAGATGTTGTAGCAAGCAAAGAGAATGACAATGTGGTCATAGATACAGAGGAGAAGGAAAAAAGTCATAATTGGGAGTCTGTATTAGCTGTAAAAGAGTTAGAGTGTGATGTGGAAAATCTAAATGATGGAGGTAGTTGTATAAAGATAGGTTTGCGACTGGTGGATAACCCAAGAAAAGAGGTGGTAAATGAAATTCATATTGCTGCAGAACAGATAAGCTCCCCTGGGTTCATTAGGAGTGATAGTGGGCCAAAAAACATATGGCCCAATATAAATTTAGAAGTAGTGTTAAATGAGGGACAACTTGGGGATTGGCAAATGGGCCTATTATTCAGGCTTCAAATCTAAGTGATTGTGTAGATCAAAGTCAGATTAGTCCTCTGGATATTCCATTGGCCAAGCAGGGAGTGAAAAATAGGGGCAATACATCAACAATGGGGAGAACCAGTGAAAAATACACCACCCGAAACAAAAGGAGAGGAGCTGAAATGAAGAATAAAGGAAAGATAAACCGAAAGCAGCTGAAGAATAAGGGTGTGCTGTTTAGCAATTGCCTTCAAAAGGAAGCTATATTTCATGTAACAGCTACAACAATGTCATTATCAGCATCTCAGAGTACAGATTCAAGGAGAATGAGGAAGTTGCTGACTGAAGCACAAGCTGCAGTTCAAGTTGGGAAAATTTTAGCCCTGAATTATGAAGGCAAGGAAGAGGAGGTGGTAAACAAAATAATTGAGCTAGAAGAAGAGAATCTTGTAAGATTGGAAGGTTTAGGTGCAGCATCCTAAGCCAAGTTGGCATCTAATAGGTAGTTAGGTGTATGTTAGTAGTTTCCATATGAAGATATTATCTTGGAATGTTAGAGGTCTAAGAAGGCCTGAAAAGGGGAGGAAAATAAAGACTTTGGTTAGGGATAGAAATGTTGATGTCCTACTGTTACAAGAAACAAAGAGGTGGAGTGTTGATGAAAATTTTGTTAAGTCATTATGGCCATGTGAGAAGGTGGGCTTCATGGAGGTTGGTGCCGAGAGTAGTGCTGGAGGGATGCTATGTTTGTGGAATCCAGACATCTTTGTCTTAAAGGAGTGTTGTAGTAATATAAATTTTATTCTATTGTCAAGTACTTCAAACAACTGTTTTGTTTATGTTATAGTCAACATTTGTGCTCCAAATAAAATACTAAAAAGAAGGCGGATATGGGAGTCTTTAGTGAAGCTTAAATCTTTTTATTAGTTCTTGGTGTGTAGGAGGGGATTTTTAATGAAATTAGAGTAATGAGTGAAAGGAAAGGGTGTTTGAGGAGGGAGAGAGGAATGAAGGATTTCAATGATTTTATTGATATTTTGGAATTGCTAGATATTCCAATGATAGGCAGAACCTTTACATGGTGCAATGCTTTGGATGGAGATAGGTAGAGTAGGATTGATAGGTTCCTAATTGACCATAAGTGGTTGGAAAAGTTCTCATTTAAGCAATGGGGGCTACTTAGAAGTATATCTGACCACTGTCCTATATTGCTAATGGAAGATGAGAGAGATTGGGGTCCAAGGCCATTTAGATTCATAAATGCTTGGTGCTTGCATCCTAAATTTATAACTGAGGTGAGGAAATCTTGGAAAAACAATTAGATCAGTGGTTGGACTAGTTTCATGTTAATGAAAAAGGTGGGAAATCTTAGAGTACATCTTAGAAGATGGAATTGTGAAGTGTTTGATAATATTGATGAGCAATTGAAACAAGCTGAGGTAGAACTCCATGGTTGGGATATTGAGGCTAAAGCGAGGAACCTGCAGGAACATGAGGTCAAAAAGTGAAGGGAGGTTAGAAGGCTAGTTTGGGAGTTGAACAAAAAGAATGAGTGGTTATGGCATCAAAATCCAGGCTGACTTGGGTAACCAATGGAGATAAAAATACAAGGTTTTTTCATATTATGGCTACTAGCAGGCAGAGGAAAATTTTGCTGGATTCTGTAAATGAGAATAGTGTCATCTTTGATCAACTAGATGTAATTAAACAAGCAGTGGTGAGGTATTTTAGCCAACTGTTTTTTGATGACAATTACTCCTGTAGAATCTGGTTTGTTAGAGGTTGAGTTTTTAGAGGAGGAAATTTGGGAAGCAGTCAAAGATTGTGATGGTAACAAAGCTCCGGGGCCTGATGGGTTTAATTTAACTTGCATTCAAAAGTGCTGGAATATAATGAAAAGCGAGGTAGTGCAGCTTATGAATGAATTCCATTATAATGGTAAGTTGGCTCGAGGAGTGAACAGTTCTTTCATTACTCTAATTCCCAAAAAAAAAATAATCCATGGTTCTGAGTGATTATAGGCCTATTAGTTTGGTAAGTTCAGTATATAAAATAGTTGAAAAGGTTTTATCAAGAAGATTGAGAAAGGTGTTTCCAAAGATTATTAGTGAAGTGCAAACAACCTTTTTGACTGGAAGATGTATCTTGGATGGGCTGCTAATTGCCAATGAAGTGGTAAATTTGTGGAAGAGATCAAAGAAACAAGGTATCATTCTAAAATTTGATTTTGAGAAGGCACATGATTCAGTAAACTGGGAGTATTTGTATTCAATGATGACCAACTTTGGTTTTGGAGAGAAATGGGTGAGGTGGATGAAGACTTGTATCTCTACAACTAGAGTTTCAATGCTAGTTAATGGATCACCCACATCAAAATTTTCTCCAATGAATGGCCTTAGGCAAGGTGATCCACTTTCACCTTTCCTTTTTAACATAGCTGTAGAGGGCCTTAACTTATTGATGACAAGGGATAAAGAAGTGGTTTTGATTAGAAGAGCTTCAATTGGAACAGAGGATCTGAGATTATCTCACCTTCAGTTTGCAGATGATACCATCATATTTTGTGAAGCAAATTGGGAGGAAATTATTGCTATTAAGAGAATTCTAAAATGTTTTGAGGTTATGTCTGGACTTAAAATT